CCATCACTCATTTGAGGAGTGAAAAGATCATTGATAATCAAGTTGAGAAAAAAGAGGTAGAAAAAGAGAAGCGTAGGATTCCTATTAATCCCATTCTTTTAACTCCACATCCCACAGATGTTCCCTCACATCCTACTCCATTAAGCTCCAAAGGAGTTGAAGGTGAAGTCATTTCTTCATCTACTTCTAACCTTGAGACAGCTTATTAGCCAAGAGCGCCTTTTCCTGAACGTCTCAAGGGACCCTCTTACTTTGGTAAGTAAGGAGAGAAAATCCAAGACATGATGGATGTTTTCGAACAGGTAAAAGTAAATATTCCTCTCCTAGATGCTATCAATCAAATCCCTGCCTATGCTAAATTTCTGAAAGACTTGTGCACCCAAAAGAGAAAATCAAAAAGCCAGGTCTCTAAGAAAATCTATCTCATTGAGCAAGTCAGTGCACTCATTCAGCATAGCACTCATTCTAAGTTCAAAGATCCTGGTGCTCCTACCATATCTTACATCATTGGAAACAATGTGATAGACAGAGCACTTCTTAATCTTGGAGCGAGTGTTAATCTTCTTCTTTACTCAGTGTATGAGTAATTAGGCTTGGGAGAGCTTAAATCCACATCAACGGTGTTGCAACTTGCTGATCGATCTATGAAGCAACCACGTGGGATCATTGAAGATGTTCTTATTAAAGAGGATAAGTTCTATTTTCCAGTTGACTTTCTTGTCTTGGATACAGAACCTGTCCATGATCCCAATAGATGTAATCCTGTGATCCTTGGTTGTCTATACTTAGCTACAGCGAATGCTAACATTAACTATAGGACTGGGGCTATGGATATTTCTTTTCAGAACATGAAGCTCAAATTAAACATCTTCAATGCCACTCCATTGTCCTCAGAGAAAGATGAGTGCTTCTTTATTGATATCATGGATGAGGATTCCGTCATCATCTTTCCAACAAAAGATCCTTCTCATTTGATTTCAAATATTCCTTGTCCTTCTTGTGAGTCTTCTCACAAACTTGAGCCTATGCCACCACCGGATAAGCTTAAGTATTCTTTCATTGGTCTTGATGGAACCACATTGGTTCCTCCTGTTTCGAATTTCATAAACACCCATAGGACTGATTTTGGGATGAGGGAGGTAGTTGAATTGTTGGATACAGGCTAAGGAGTGGTGTACAGTCGAGCTAGTGACATTAAACTTAGCATGTTGTCGAGCTATCGACGTTAAACTTAGCACTTGTAGGTTTGTACTTTAGTTTGATTTGATTTATTTTTATTTTTATTATTTTTAGTTTTTTTAGGTTTTTAGTTCATTTTTGTATTTGTATTTTTATTTTTAGATTAGGTTAGTTTAGGTTTGTTTTTATAAAAAGAAAAAAGAAATAGGTTAGTTTCTTTGTGTATTTTTCGTTTATTTTTAGATTAGGTTTGTTATGACGACCTTGGATTTTTTAACCCAGCGTGTCCTGTGATGACTCGAACCGGATCCAAGATGCGGAAGCAAAAGAATTGGAATGGCCTCAAGAGATGTACGTCATCCCTAAGGCACTGAAGTGACTCCCCATAAAGCCACTAAACTCACATGAGCCAAATAAATGAAGCAAGAATGCCTAATCCGAAAAGAAATGAACCAAGGGCAAAATGGTCATTTTTAAATTGAAATGGGTGCCACTGAGCACACCATTAGAAAGACAACAAAAAATGAACAAGGTTATACTCAAGAATCGCCTGATTCTGAGTTCGAACGGACAAGATATGAATTTAAAACAAGGTGGCCTTCGCCGTTAAAGAATTACCATGAACCTATCTTACTAAAACTGGAATAACTCTCATCATAGACGTAGTTATGATGTGTGGTTAGTACCATTGGATAGCCAACTCCGAGCTCTTGAATTTAGAGTCAAGAATGACCCAAATTGGATTCGAAATGAAAGAGATATGACCTCCCAAAGTTGGAACAACAAAGCTGTCCAATAGATGCTGAGAGGGAGAGGGTTCCAGGGAGGATCGGTCAACTGAAATGCAATAGTCAGCAGGCCGAAACTCAACCATCGGTCGACCGAACCCCAATTGTCAGCCGGCCGACACAAGGTTTTTCCTAAAAAGCCTACTGGAATAGTCTCGAGGGATTCGTCAGCCGACCGATGGAGCTCCATCAGCCGACCGACACCTCTGCTGCTGCTAGGAAAAGCTGCTGCAAGGTGTGTGCAAGGCGCTTGGGCCATTTCTAAGGTTCTACATGCATCCTACATGATCCGAACATGATTGAAAACACTTTCTAGCCCCGTTCAAGCACCTAAGACATGCCAAGACAAGGAGGAACTTCAAATGACACTCCAAGGAGGAATTTTCCATGAAAATTCATAAAATCGCTCAAAAATAAGTCAAAAGTTAAAACTCAAGGGTTTTGTGCAATGTGGACATGCACGCAAACGTAAAAAGACATTTAAGACGCGTTCCAATGGTCCGCGGCTTCAAAATGCCAAGAATGCAAAATATGACCTCTCAACGGCCAAAAATACCTAAAAATGCTATAAATGAAACCATAATGCGAAACTTAGAATGAAATGGTGTTTGGCACTTGGCCACACCTCATACATGATCATAGAAACCCTGTGAAAAAGAAAGAATGAAATTCCCACGCTCGATGCAAAAGTTATGAGGCAATGACTTATGAATTTTCAGTATTTTCATAATAAACTTTAAAAGCAAAAGTGCATAGAATACAAGTTACACGTCATTGGCCTCCGGCCTTATCTTATACATGTTGAATACAAAGAAAAGAGTGTACTTATGCACACTTTACATATTTAGAATCAAAGAATACAAGTTTCATACATTAGGCTATGAAATGATCGTTCATGCTAACTTTTACATGAAATGGAAATTGAAAAGCTAGAAGCCATCCCATTGAACAACAAGCATCACGAACCAAGTCTTCGTACCTGATCAAATCCCCCAGTAACTTCGGGGTGAGTAAACAAGTTTACTCGTAGAGAATGAGCATGCATCGACTCGATTTCTTTAGAGATTTTTAGGACTAACATGATATAGTTCAAAAGGGATCATGACACCTAACGTCTATGTCAAAGATTAGACTCAGGGATCATCCTAAGCTACCATGGAGTATAAGCAACAAGAATCATGATATATCTACATATATGAGGCAAGTCAAGACTGGGATAATCCAAGAACACGATGAGAAGGATACTTGAACATAGGTTAACATGAATTGCATTATCAATACAATTAAGCAAGGTTTAGAATAATTCCATACAACAAGACAAAAGGATACTAGAATACAAGTATCACATTATTAATGGAATTGAACAAGGTTTGGAACATACCAATTAACACGACAAGAAGTATACTCGAATACAAGTTAATACGAATTACATTATCAATTCAATTAACATGATTGGAGCATTCTAATTAACGCGATAGAAGTAATACACGAGATGAAGAGCAAGACATAATATCTATGCAATTAAACAAGAATGGAACATTCCATAAAACACGAAAGAGTTATACATGAATCAAGAACAAGGCATAATATCTATGCAATTAAACAAGATTGGAGCATTTCATATACACGACAAGTTTAAATCTTTAAGGAATAGCAACTTGAAATTTAAAGAGTGAAATCAACAAATGTGGAAACTTGGATATTGCCTGGATTAAAACCGTACTCTTGAGATCACTTTAGAGCTACTAACCCATGGGTACCTTTCCCCTAGTGCGCACTATAGTGTAGGAGGACATTCCCCCATACTAGAACCAAGTCCTAGCCATGCCAATTCTTGATTGATATCCCAAGTCCCAATATCAACAAGTTGTGCAAGTCAAGATTGTATCAAAATACAAGAAATGCATTAACCACATATCATGCACAACCAAGATTTTGGAACACACAAGTCATGCCCTAAGTTCTCAACTATGATGGCATGTGAAATGTCAAGAAATCAAAGTGTGCATTTATATAGACCACAACCAAGTTAAATAGCACATGGAATCCATCGAAGCAAATATACCACAAGTATAAGGTACATGATATCAATTGCATACTAAACAACACATGTGTACATAAACCATTCCAAGACAAATGAACATGTTCATTAAACACATTAATGAAACTAAGATACAGGAAGTCTAGATACATGATGTCAAAGAATGATTAACTCGAGGGAAGCATAAAAGAGAATTTAATCTACTTAAGAGATTAAATTATCAAGGTTATATGGCAAGTCCAAATGTTCTACGAATAAGTTATGTCAAGGATCATATCAAGGCCAAGTTCAGTGTCAAGTTTCAAGCTCATTTCATACACGACACAATCATGTGAGTTAAGTTCCATACAAGGGAAATAATTAAATATAAGCTTGAAAGCTTATCCGATTATTCTCAAATTGATACACGTAAAGGAATTTGTCAAGAAAATCATGATTACAAGGTTAGAAACTTAATCAAGTGCATAGAACCATCGAACGGATTTTAATTATTTCATTTAATTAAAATCCCTAGATTTTGAAACTCATCCAAATGATTTCAAATTAATGTATGTTATTAAACATGTCAAGACTTGATTTACTAGCACAATACAAGTGACTTCCATGCAATGTACGGCCATGAGTATTAAACTTTAATACTAGAAAAATAATAGTTGAAATGTTTCAAAACCTAATCAAATATTCTAGTTTTAATATATGTGAAACTATATGACATGCATATCAAGAATATCAAGTCAGAAATCCGATGGGATGAATAGCGCACTTGGAACAATTTAATTAATCTAATTAATTAAATATTCCTAGATTTCAAAACACTTCCGATTACTCTCAAATTCACCTATATTGAAGAGCATGCTAGTGCCTAATATAATATGCTAACACATATTGATTTCAAACTAGTTAAGGCCGCATGATTTAATATTTTATTCAAAATAAATATTAAATAAAATCTTCAATACTTGTCCAAATGATCTAAATTTAATATATATCAATCAACATATCAAGGGGTAATATTCTATCATGTCACATGTTTAAACAAAGTTATGGACAACTGGGAAAATTAAATCCTTCACAAGAAAAATAAATAATAAAATCTCTAGATTTTATATCCAAGCATGTAATCAAGTTGTATAAGCATCACAAGCATGTAAAATAGAAAGAAAATAAATTATAACACCCCTACCTCAATTTTGAGATGGAAATCTCAAATCCCCACCGAAAAAAAAGTATTCCGAATCCATTGAAACTCTTAGGTTTTGTTGGGGATAACATGATCTACATGAATCCGAAGGAAGCCCCATGAAAATCACAACTTGACTCCCAACCTAAACACGTCGAGGGAAACAATAAACGTGAAGGCCGAAGACTTTTCACTTAAGAAAAGTGGATCAAAGGAGGAGAGAGAAAGTGACAGCTCCATGGGCATCCATGGCTGCCGGCCAAGAGAGGAAGAAGAAGAGAAAAATTTGATTTTTTTTTTTCTTTAAGTCTCCTATTTATAGAAAATCTCAAAAAGTGCCCCGAAAGGGCACCGCTGGGTCCGGAAAAGTGAAATTTGAGCAAACGTGCTCAAACGGAAAAACTCCATGAATAAAAAAGATTTAAAATGAGAAAATATGAATAACGAAAAAAACGGTGTAAAAAACGGAGTCCCGAGCAGAGAGATATGTCCCGAACAAGTTCGGCGGCAATCAGGGCCAAAAACTCTGAAATTTGAGAAAAACGACCAGAACGGAATTTTAAGAGTACAAGACTTGATGAAATGTGAAACTGAATCCCGTATGAGGATCCAGGCTCCAAACGAGGTATTTTGCTATAACTTTCGTTAATTGCACAATGACCCCTACAAAAAGGGTTAACTGCGAAACTGCCCCAGAATGAAAATATCTTCCAAAAGATATTTTTTTAGATGCCCCTAAAATAAAATATCTTTAAAAGATATTTATGAAAAACACCCCAAGAAAAGAAAAAAATTCTGAAGAATTGTGCATCCATGCTCCTATGAACACCGGGAGCAACCAGAGTACTTTCTTGCAAAAGTAAATATACGTATTTCGAGAAAACCACTCAAGATGAAGGCATGTGAAGTCAAAAACTAACTCCAAGCATGAAAAGTGAGGTTTTACCAATAAAGTAATAGATGGGGAAAAGACAGAATAGGGAAAAGGACGAAATAGGGAAAAGGACAAAAGTGAATAGTGTCCCGAAAAGTGAAAATGCGAAAATGACTCAGTCCTCAAAGGAAGTTGTCAATCCACACGAAAGAGTCTCAGAAGCCAATTCTAAGCACTCAAGATGATACTAAACGACGAAAAACAGATCTCAGAAAAGAGAATTAAACGGAAAAAATTTATCCGTAAAATTTCAGGAAAAAAAGAAAGGGAGGAAAATGACTTGGTCATTACATTTGTTTTGTTTTGTTTTGATTGAAAAAAAAAAAATTGATTGATTTGTGCATAATGATATATATCTGTTTTACTCCATATACTTAATACTCTAATGTGTGCTGTGGAGTGTGATTATTTTGTCTAGTACAAAGGACTAAGTTTGGGGGCGAGGTGATGATTCCATTCCTCTGAGATATCAATTCTTGATTCTTGCAAGTTCTGTATATTTGATAATATCTTTCTAACTTTACATCTATTTTCACACATTGATCACAATGTGCATCTTAAGTTTGGGGGTAATATAGTGCCTTTTAAAATTTTGTTGTTAATATATTGTGCACAAGAGGATGCAATTTAACTGTTTAAGTATGATTTTGAGTCTGTTGACTATTGTGATGTCCATATGCAGTTTGATATTGGTTTAAGAAGGTTTGTATTTCGAATTCATGTTAAATAGGGATTATTGAAACTTTTTTATATCAGTTGATGGCCTGTTGTCCACTTTGTCAGGGTAGTTACAATTTGATGATTCTGATTCCTAGAATATTTCACTTTGCACATGTTCACACTTACATGAATTATGTGGGGTATAAACTTGAAGTCTTATTTTGATTTGTGTTAAACTAAGATGGATAGGTGAATTTGATGATTTTTAGAACCAAGGTATAAAAAAAAATGAAAGAAATAAAATGGTATGCATGCAATAAAAAAAAAAGAAAAAAAAAAAGGTTCTTCATTAATGTGAAGGAACCAAATGAAAAGAGAGAAAAAGGGTCAAGTTTGGGTCTGTACCTAGATTGCTTAAACAATTAATTCCTCAGGGGTGTTTCAACACTTAATGAGTTCGCTACAAAAAAAGTTTAGGTTGTCCAGATTACTTGAGCAATTTGGTCCATAGGAGTGTTTTAACACCTAATGCCCTAAATCCATTTGGCTTGGAAGTCATTGGCTGAAAACTCGTTACAAGAATGATTTAGAAAGCTTAATAGACCTGAGCATTGCATAGTACCCTTTTGAAAAAAAAAAAAAAAAAAAAGAGTTGAAAAAAAATTGAGTGATGAATGAAATAAATGCAAACCTATAGAAAATTAGGAAAAATACCTTGGGGATCAGAATTTGAAAGGTTTACTTGTGAATTGAGGGATAGCATGAGTTAGATATAAGTATGGATAGTAAGCCACATGTTTATAATTGTAAGTTCACTATTAAAAAGGATTTTGGGGATCGAGATTGTTAAATATAAGATTAAACTAACATATGGGGACCATAGCTGCTAATATGATACTGAGAGTTGGTGATTTTTCCTGTTTAATATAGTTCCTTATACTTGTTGTAGTTAACTGATTGATGTATTGCTGGAATATTATGATATGAAAATAGGTTTGAATGAGCTTGTCGTGCAATTAAGGCACTAATTTGAGAAGTTTGTGGGTATCTTCACTGGAAACCTCACGAGATTACAACTCGTCTGCTGAGCATTGAAAAGTGCGCATTTAAACTCTTTAAGGTTGAATGTTCTAGTACCTTATCCTATCTAATTTTTCCGTTTTAATTTAATTTCATGTTATTCCCCTTTTCAGGCACTTCTCCCCAAAATAAGTTAATCCAGCTGAATTAGAGCATAAAAGATGCAATCTGAAGCTCAATGGAAGAAAGGAGCAAAGTGGAAGCAAGTTAGTGAAAGGAAGCACTCTTCAATCGATCGAACAAAGCTCAGATCTATCACACAGTGATCATTCCAAAAATGCCAAGATGGATCGAGCCTTTTGTCCTTGTCCTCAGCAAAATTCATTCTTCGATCGATCCAACAATTCTTTGATCAATTGAACATCTTTGATCTTATCCTCACCTACCACTTTTGTCCTCTTCCCAAAAATATCTCAGCCTTGTCTTTATTCCAAAAAGGCACTGCCAAGGTTCGATTGATTGAACCAACCTTGAGATTGATCGAACTGCCTCGAATTGCGTGAAAAGTTGATATCAAGCCAAATTAAATATGTACTCATGGTGCAATCATTGGGAGGTCCTAGTGCACGAGGTTTAACCATTGGGTGTGACATTTGAGCTACCTATATAAGGATTTTGGCTATTTTGAGTAAAGGGGGTTAGATTAGAGAGACTTGGCTAGAGATTAAAGAGAGAGAATATAGAAATTGAGAAAGTTCTTCCTCTCTTCTAAGGTTTCCACCAAGGAGGAAGAAGATCATTTCTAGCATGGAAATAGCCCTTGAGGGTTGGATGACAACATCAATGAGTGGCTAAACATCTTCTTAGGGCTAGAGCTAGCCCTAGGCATGCCTCATAGACTTTGATGTTTTGTAATTAATGGGAATTAGTATTGTAATTCTTGTCTTGACCTTTGATATATATATAAATCTTGTTTCTACATTGATTTGTGTATTTTAATACTTCTAATTGATCATTTCATTCTACTCATATGTCTATGTATGCTAAAATAGATGTCCATGTGTTTATCTCTAGGTTTTGTGATATTGATGCATGTCTATGTGTGTTGATGCTATGAATCTAGTGATGGTCAAGGCATGGTGTTTAAATGGAATACTCTTGAGGTTTATTTGATAGTTTATACTCATTTCTTGATGGATTGTGCCTCTTCCTTAGTTTAATTAGTTTAATTTTCATGTCCCTAACTTAGTTGAAGTGTAGTTGCTTTACTTCCTTAGATGGGAGGACAATCCATGCTTTTTGTTTGATGTTCCATACTTATGAATGCAAGTAGAATATTTCTCTAATTTGGTGATGTGTGTTGATTGTGGACTTAAAGGAAGGAATAATGGCTCAATTGATATGTTGTGCTATTCACTAGTTTGTCTAGACAATATATACTTATTTAGTCATCCATGCTTGTTGATTCAATTAATGACAAACACTAATATTGCAACACATAATCCCCCTCATTCATTACACATTGAGTGTCTAGGAAGGTAATGTTTAGTGGTGACCTCTAAGTCCCAAGACCCTTCTCTGTTATTCTCTACATTTTACTCTACTTCAATTGCTTTACCTCGCATGCATTTAAATTACATTGTAGTTAATTAACCAAACAAACCATCTTTTGATCACTCGACCTACTAATCCAACATTGTTTCCAAACAAATACTGCCCTATTCCCTTGGGACGATCCCTACTCACCCTAGCTATATTATTAGTTAGAGGTTGAAGTGGCACTCTATAAATTCAAATTTGGCCACATTGCACACTTTTGGATGCAATTTGGTACATTGGGCGACACATACCAAGTTTTGGCGTCGTTGAGGCAACGCCGTATTTTGGAAACAATTAGAAATTAGTACTCTTTTGATCGTGTCTTTATTTTACGTTATTTTGGTTACTTATTGTGTTTGTTCTTGATTGGCTAGGTGCATTGAGCAAAGGAAAGTGAAGCAAAGGAAAATTCTGAAGCAGGAGCAAGCTAAGCTAAGCAAAAGCAATAAAAGCTAAAAATCTAAAAATTTGCAAAGCAACGCGAAAATTGAAAAATAATTTTTAGTTGCTTAAGGACCCTTTGTGAGCTTTTCTAACTCTATCTCTAGTTAAATCGTCGGGCCGCGTAGTGGCTATTCTTTGAATTCGTAGATAAATCGTGAGCCCGCGTGGAGGCAATTTATTTTCTTGCATATTGTTCAAGCATGGGAGTATGGGATATATATATGTGGAGGTTTGTTGATTGGTTTTTTGCAGAGGCGAAGTGATTGTTAATTGCTACTTGCTTGTTACTTGTTTTTGTTTTCTTTGTGCATATATGGTTGAAGGTCGTTAAATTCTACTCTTGTCCCACTTAATTTGAATCTTGAATCCATTTTTCGTAATTCTAAGGGAAGGGGTAATTCTAGTCATTCCATTTCATCAATGGAAGACATCAATGAGGACCGTGTGTAGGACCTTGGTCACATCGATCAACAAGGTATCCTCCACCCTAATGTGAATCATGACAATATTCAAGTACCATTGGGCATGCCAAGACCATTCATTCAACCACAATAATAAGGCGATGTTTCATTGGGAATGCCTCGGCTAATTTTTGCTCCACAACCTCCCTTTGCTCAAGTTAATCATGGTGCTTACGTAGCACCATCGGTTGTGAATTATCTTTTTGCTTTACGTGATCATTATGTGTAAAATGAATATAATGCACCTACATGCATTTAATTACCCCCATTTAGAGCACATCACTATGAGATTAAACTGCAAACTATTCAAATGCTTCCTAACTATCATGGCCTTCCAAATGAAGAACCTTACAAGCATTTGGATGAGTTTCTTGAAGTATGCTCCACCGTGAAATACACGGACATGCCGGAAGATGTTTTGTGATTAAAACTCTTCCCTTTCACCCTTAAAGATAAGGCAAAATATTGGTTCAACAATCTTAGGCCTTTTTCAATAACTTCTTGGGCAGAATTGCAACAAGAGTTCTTGAAAAAGTACTATCCGGTTTCAATGACCAATGCTATAAGAGCTTCTATACGTGAATTTTCTCAAGGGGATAGGGAGATGTTTCATAAGGCATGGGAAAGATTTAATGATTTGCTTAGGAAGTGTCCACATTATGATATGCTTATGTGGCAATTAGTTCAATACTTCTTTGAAAGTTTGCCGGATAATCATAAGGGTATGGTTGATGCATCTATAGGTGGTTTTTATCTTGATAAGCATGAAAATGATGTATAACATCTTTATGAAAGCATGAGTGAGAATTCAATGCATCGATCCTTGTATTCCAAAAATGGTAGGAATTTAGGTGGAAGGAAGAATGTCGGCTTATATCAAGTTGACAACTCCAACGATATTGCCGCCGAGGTCAAGTCTTTATCTCAAATGTTTGATCAATTTTTGATCAACCAAAATTCGGTGAATCAAGTGTCTTCCTCCCCTAATCATGTTCATCATCCATCTAATGAATCTTGCATGAGTTGTTCTAGTGTCTTACATTCTACTTCCAATTGTCTCCATGGACATGTGTAAAGTGAGCACCATGAGCAAGTGACTGCGGCATTTGTCAACTAAAGGATAATCCCTATGGCATACATTACAATCCCAGGTGGAGGAACTATCCAAACTTCTTTTGAAAAAGCCAAGGGGAAGGCTTAAATCCTCCCTAAGGTGGTTTTCAAGGCAAGTATGTTCCACCCCCAATGCAAAGCCAAGGTTCCTAAGGTTATAGATCATCTTTTCAATCATTGCATGGAAACCAATTTTCTAACTCTCATTTTCCTAATAAATCATCTTATTCTCAAGGAAACTCAAGGAGCCCCGTATTTGAGAAAAAGTGTTGACTGCTTTGGGTACTTTGGAGGCAAATATCCAATTACTTCATTCTCATTCCCAATCCATTGCAAAGCTAGAAACCCAAGTCGGGCAAATAGCTAGCACATTGAATGCTAGGGAAAAGGGGAAAATGCGTTTGAATCCACTTCCTAAGCAACAATTTCTTGTGGAGACCAATTCCTCCTCGGAAGGCCACACAATTGAGCATGTCAATGCGGTGACGACCTTGAGAAGTGCAAAAATTGTTGACAATCAAGTTGGAGTTCACAATGAAGAGAGTGAACCGGTGGAACCAAAAGTTGACACCCATACCGTCTCACATCCTATTCCTCCTTCATTACATGTGCATGAACCCTTTGTTAAGAAAGTTTTGAAAGATGATTTTAAAAATTTTTATGTTGAAAGTGATTCCCCAAAGATTTTTGAAAAAGCTTTTGCGCCAAAGGCTCCATTTTCGGATACCTTAAAAGGATCCATTTCTCTTGAAAAGCAAAGGACTGAGGCCAATGAAATAATTGATATGTTTAGGTAAGTGAAGAATAATATCCCTTTCTTTGATGCAATTAAATAAATTCCGGCTTACGCCAAATTCTTGAAAGATCTTTGCACCTAAAAGAGAAAGAACAAGAGCCAAGCATCAAAGAAAGTTGTCTTGACCGAGCAAGTGAGCTTAATATTGCAACATAACACACTTCCAAAATTCAAAGACCCCGATTCACCTACCACTTCTTGCATCATTGGTGACCATGTCATTAATTGGGCTCTTCTTGATTTAAGAGCAGGTGTGAACCTTCTTCCATACTTGGTGTATGTTCAATTAGGCGTAGGAGATTTAAAACCGATGTCGGTAGTGTTGCAACTTACCAACCGATCTATCAAAAAGCCCCGGGGTATTATTGAGGATGTGTTGATTTAAATTGATAAATTCTTTTTCCCAATTGATTTCGTTGTCATAGGCACAGAATGGGTCGCAAACCTTAAGAGTCAAATTCATATTATCCTTGGTCGTCCCTTCTTGGCAACCGCTAATGCCAACATCAATTGTAGGACGGGGATAATGAAAATTTCATTTGGGCATATGAAAGTGAAATTGAACATATTTAATCCAACCTCGAATTCAATGGACAAGCATAAAGAAGTGTGTGTTGTGGAAAAATATCTCAAAAATGAACTTGAAAAACATGAGTCTTTGCTTGACAATGGAATTTTGAATGACTTGTTTTCAAAACAAAGTTTGAAGAGAAATGTTTCAAAACCAAGTGTTAAAAGGGCATAGAAGCCCAAGAGTTGCATTGATCAAGGACCACCAATCTCCTTTGAATCAGATCCAATGAGTTCCCTAAGGAATAGTTTGTTAGGTGGGGTTCAAAAGTCATTTCACCCCATCAAGGAGGCGATGCATAACAAGATTTTTGATCCAGGCTAAAAGAGCACAATGTCTTGTTAGAGATATTAAACACTAGTGATTTGTAGGGTTTACAACCCTATTCCTCCCTCATTTCTATTTTACTTTCATTCCTTGTGTCGTCTAGATATGTTTTGGGATCATAAACATTATTTGGGACTTTGATAAAGAATGTTTGCACTTTCATTTTCAAATTAAGCATTTAGTGCCAGTTTGATCGATCAGAAAAGGAAGTTCGATCGATTGAACATCATCTCTGCATATTCTCATCTCTCTGTTCCATCGTGCAAAAATTTCCTGCATATTTCATCTCTTTGTGTATTGTGCGAATTTTTCTCTCAGATCGATCTAAGTATTGTTCGATCGATCCAACTTTCCCTTGGATTGATCTCAATTTAATACATAGAAATTTTTTTGAAACTTTGAAAAATACCTCTCTGTGCATCATTCGAAGATCCCTGTAGGTTTTTACCTATTGGATTGATCGAGGTTCGATCGATCACCTCGATCAATATGTGATCGATTTGTGTTCTCCTATTTGACTTTGACTTTTTCAATTCCAAATTTCAAAAATCCAAAAATATTTTCCATTTTCTTTAAAAAAAAAAAACATTTTAGCTATTTTTCAAAAATCCAAAAACATTTTAAAAATATTTTTCAAAAGTCCAAAAATATTTTCAACTTTCCAAAAATTCAAAAATATTTT